GGTGGAGGGGAGCTATGGGGGGAAAAAAGAGGAACTGTAATAATCTGAACAATAAAGATTTAATTTAAAAAAAAAGGATTGTGCACACAGAGTACCTGTAAATTCTTACTCAACTGTAAAGAAAAGAAATTGGAAATTATAAGTGAGGGTAGTCTATGTAAAAAAGTGTTCAGTTTTCCAATCAGAAGACTCATAATGTGCTCTTGCCTCATGCTTTTGCAGTGGCTGTTCCTCTTGCCTAAAAAGCTCTTCTCCTGACATTCGCATGACTCTTCAAGTCTTTGTTCAATGTCACCTTCCCAAGAAGGCCTATCCTGACCATCCTATTTAAAATTGTTCCCTCCACTCCTGCCTCACCCTATCTTATTTTCCCACAGCACTTATCACCTTCTAACATACTATTTAAATTGTATTTATTATGTTTACATTTATTGTCTGTCTTTTCCCACCTTTCCCCCTAAAAGATGAGGTAATGAAGCACAGAGAAATTAAAGTAACTTGCTTAAAGTCACAGAGCTAAGAAATGTTAAGTGGTGAAGTGAGATTAGAATTCAGTCTATCTTGATTCTATATATATATATATATCTTTTTTTTTGTTATATTCTCCATCTTCTAGAAGGTTCTAAGATTGCCCCAGTGTGCAAACCTCTATATCTCCTTTCCCTGGAGTGAGGACAGAAACTATAAATATAATGGGATATCACTCCCAGAATTATGTTATGTTAACAAAGGGGATTTTTGCTGATATAATAGAAGTTAGTAATTAGCTGATTTTGAGTTAATAGAAAAGATTATCCAGGTGGGCCTGACTTAATCACAGGAGCCATTTAAATGTGGGTGTGGGGTCAGAGCAGAGGAAGTGAGAGATTCCAAGCAGGAGAGGATCTACTAAAGGGCCACCTAGCAGGAAAGAGAACTTGGCCTCTAGAAGCAGAGAACCACTTCCCAGGTAACAGCCAGGAAAAAAGCAGACATCTCAGCCCTACAATTACAAGTAAAGGAATTCTTCCAGCAGCCTGAATAAGTGTGGAAGAGAACTATGAGCCTCAGATGAGATGGCAGCCCTAACTGACATCTTTTTTAAAAAATATTTTATTTTCTGGACAGTTCCTTTGAGAATGATAGGCTTGGGGAATTCTTTTTTTTTTTAATATATTTTTATTGATTTCAGAGAGGAAGGGAGAAGGAGAGAGATAAAAATACCAATGAGGAGAGAGAATCATTGATCAGCTGCCTCCTGCACACCCCACAGGGGAATTGAGCCCACAACTTGGGTATGTGCCCTGACTGGGAATCCAACCTGTGACCTACTGGTTCATAGGTCGTGCTCAACCACTGAGCCACACTGGCCATGCCCAACTGACATCTTGATTGAATTATGTGAGACCCTCAGTAGAGAATTCAGCTAAGCCAAGCCCAGACTTCTGACCTAGAGAAACTGGATGATGCTAAGTGAATGTTAGTTAAAGCCACTAAATGTGTGGTCATTGTTATTCAGCAGCAACAAACAACAGTGTAGAAATTTTTGCCTATTTTGTTCACTGAGATATATCCTCAAGACCTAAAACATGCCTGACATATAATAGGTACTCGATAAATATTTACTGAAGGAATTTAAGCGGAATTAGTTTAGCCTTAAGAACATCTCACCACATTCTACTTATTTATCGTATATTGCTTCAAACCTGTGAAACTTCCATACTCTCTACTAATATTTAATGAACTAGAGCCGGAATTCTTGTTCAGAGATAAGTTGTCTGAGGGTAAGCAAAGGCTTTATCTACACTATCTAGTAGCTGCTGTAAGGATGTCTAAAGCTTCCAGATAAGCTTGGAGTTTCAAGACCCAACAATCTTCCAGGCAAACCCAAAGCATCACAGTAACTCTAGTTTTTCTAAACACAAGGATGCTCTAATTTAAAAAAAAAAAAGAAAGAAAGAAAGCTCTCATAAGAAAATGTAAGCTTATAATAGAAACAAACTCAGCAGAGGTTATTTATACTGTAAAAATAACCTCTAATTTTATAACAGTATCCAGGAAAATACTGTCCTCAAATATCCATTTTGCATGGTATAAAGACATAATCTAATCTATTAAAGTGGTCCAGCCCATGCACTCAATTCAGCAAACATATATTGAACACCTACTCTGTGCTAGATGCTGAGGATCAAGTGGTGAGCAAAAGAAACCATTAAAAGGGAGACAAATATTAAACCAATTCATAATTTCTTATATAAATAGACATATGCATACAAGTACAAAGTGCTAAGCAAAATCAGGAAAGGGGGCTATAATTTGAATTGTGATCTCAGAGAAGGCCCGAGGATGAGTAGGAGGTAGTCAGATTGGGTCACAGTAACAACTCAAAGAATGAGGAAAGTAAAGATCACCTTATGGTGTTGGTATTAGGAATCAATGAACAGAAATGAAGGCACTTTAGTTAGTGGCTGCCCTTAAAAGTTTTTAATATAACTGAATTCCCTGTTCATGTGTACTGCTCAGCTCTCCTAGGAAGACCTCAGAAGAATTCTAAGAGTTCTTTTAAATATCCAGTTGTTGAAGAAGGTTGCATGCAGAGAACTAATTTGAATGCAGTAATTTTCATTTATAAGAAACACAATGTAAAAGCTCAAAATATAGTATCTATGTTTATTTATTTATTGATTGATTGATTGATCTTTAACTCCTGATGGTGCTTGAAGATACTTAGGTAGCATTCCTGGTTCATTAAATACTTACAACCTGTGAATTTTAGCAGTCTCAGTGCCAAGTGCAGATTTGGGGAATGCCCCATGGTGAACTTTGGCATGTATAGCCCTCTGACAGCCTATAAACAACTGGCACACTGTATATGTGTTTGTTGTCTGACTCTTCCCAATAGAATGCAAGCTCCATGAGGACAGATATGTTCAGCTGCTTTGTTCACTGCTCTATTCTTGGCACTAGAACAATGTTGTAAGCACTGGATAAACATTTGTTAAGTGAATGAATGATTTCTGACCACTGCTCTTTTCATGATTATTTGATTGCTTGTTTTGGGTTGTTCCTGCCTTTGAAATAGAATGATGGATGGTGATAGAATAGGTCTTGTATTCAGGTGTGCAAATGAAGGAATTGCTTCCTTATAGTTTTCCTCTCTATTTTTGCCATTTGCTTGGCAATGGTGCATAACTATTTGCTGCCTCTCTGTAAGAAGACTGTACAGCCCCACCCATTGCCACAGGGTGTTCAGGGCCTCATGCGGGCAAAGTATCCCCTTCCCCCATCACTCCATTATCAGGGTTAACTGTATGGCTGCATTGCAACAGGAATGTGAATCCATAAGAAAAATGAAAGCCATGCCACATCCTAGCAGGACTCCAAGACTGATGATGTGGGGGCACTTGTATCTTGCTCTTTTCTTTTGCTCAGAACAGTATGCTCCATATCCGGGCTGCTTATTCAGCCTGGACCCCAGAACTAAGGCCCCAATCTCACCAATATGGCATGAGTGAGAGATAGATGTGTATTATTGTAGGTCACAGAAATTTGGGTGCTGTTCCTGCAGCAAAGCTAATATACCAATTATTAACTATTTGAGGGAGTAAGAATTAAGGATAAAAAAAACTTAGGAAACCTGTCTACAAAAATTCACTAGAGAAGAAATAACGATTATGTCTCTAATGACAATTGAAATAAATGGGAAAATGAGTCCATTCACAAAAACTAATCACAGTTCTCAGGAACATATCTTTTACAGAAGTCTATATGCTGATACTTTATTAAAATACTTTAAGAATGCTAGAAAGTCAAACCTTGAAATGAACTGAAGAAGGTTACAATGTTAGGATGTTTCATCTTTGCCAGAAGAATGACTTCTTTCTTTGAAGCTTCTTTTTCTTGGATGGGCATCTAAATTATATTAAGAGACAGAATAGTCTGTAAAGGTAACTTGCTGTCAAGAACATGCTTCCTGCTCACTCCTATTGTAACAGTGGGAATTGTAACCCATCTCACCATTCTTTTGACATTATTTCTGTAAATGCTATTCTGACTAACATGTACCTTGTAGATAAACAGCATGTTTGTATAAGAATCCTAGGAACTAACTTCAGAAGATGCAGACTTCGACCTTCAGCCATCCCAGTTACGGGAGATTTGCTGACCTTCAATGGTAAAACCAGAATAATGAAGACCAGGATGATATATAGCAAAGCATCACTTGACCAGTTTCAAGATCCTTATTGGAATGGACTGTACTGGTCTGCACATAGAGAACCTTTCAACTTCCTCCCCTTGATCTCTTTGTTCTGCTTTCCCTCCCCCACCATATAAAAATCTTTGCCCGCAATGAGATTTTGAGATGGGCTTTGCAACAAGAGTCCCCCGTCTTCTCAGGTGTCTGGCACTTAAATAAACCACTTTCCTTTTTCACCAGCATCTGTCTCACAAGTTTGGTTTTCATGGTGGCAGGCAACCGAACCTTAGTTTCAGTTACACTATCTAAAATTCTCCAGGATTTCACTGGCTTTTAGTGGCACTTCTGAAACCAATCTCTCAACATCAGAAAACAAAATTTCTAGAATTAGCACTATATTTAATCAATGGTTTACCATTGAAAACCATAAGCAAAAAATAATGATTTCTGGTGAACTTTTGCTGTATTAAAATTTCAGTTAGATAAGAAAAACCTGAGGGAGTTCATCACCACTAAACCAGTATTACAAGAAATGTTAAAAGGTCTTCTTTAAGAAGAAGAAACTATAAATAAAATATCACAAAGAAAAAAGTTATCACTGACAAAGGCAAACACATAATAAAAGCAGTAGAACAACCAACACTAAAACTAGTACAAAAGTTAAGGATACACAAAACACATACAAAAGAAGTAAAAAATAATGACAAAAACATAAATGTGAAGGGGTGAGTAAAAATGGTAGTGATTCTAGAATGTTTTCAAACTTAAGCAAACATCACCTTAAAATAGACTGCTTAAAACATAGTGTGGTATACAAGAAGCACATGGTAACCACAAATCAAAAATCTACCAGAGACCTAGCCGCTTTGGCTCAGTGGATAGAGCATCAGCCTGTGGACTGAAGGGTCCTGGGTTCAATTCCGGTCAAGGGCACATGCCTGGGTTGTGAGCTCGGTACCCAGTAGGGGGTGTGCAGGAGGCAGCCAGTCAGTGGTTCTCTCTCATCGTTGATGTTTCCATCTCTCTCTCCCTCTCCCTTCCTCTCTGAAATCAATTAAAATATATATATTTTTTTTAAATCTACAAGAGATATACAAGAAATAAGGAGAAAAGAATCCAAACACAACACTTAGGTGAGTCAACAATGTAGAAGAGAAGAAAGCAAGAAAATAAGAAGAGAGGAGAGAACTAGAAGAACAATCAGAAAACAATTAATAAATGGCAATAACTACATACCTATAGATAATTACTTTAAATGCAAATGGATTAAGTGCTCCAATCAAAAGACAAATGGAGCCCTGGCCGGTGTTGTTAAGTGGTTAGAGCATCCAGCCCACACAAAGAAGGGTTGTGGATTCAATTCCCAGTCAAGGGTTCACTCCCTGCCCCTGGTCTGGGCGCAGGCAGGAGGTAGCCAGTAGCAACCAGTTGATGTATCTTTCTTATATAAATGTTTCTCTCTCTCTCTCTTCCTCTTTCTCTCTCTTCCCCTATCTACCTTCCACTCTTTCTGAAAAGCAATGGAAAAAAATATCCTCAGGTGAGGATTAAAAAACAAAAAGAAAAATGAATAAAGATGTGGTTCTCAATATATAGTGAAATATTGCTCAGCCACAAAGAAAAATGAAATGTTACCATTTGTGACAACATGGATGGATCAAGAGGGCATTATGCTAAGTGAAATAAGCATCTATTCAGACAGAGAAAGACAAATACCATATCATTAAATTTATATGTGGAATATAAAAATTAAATAAATGAACAAACAAAACAGAAACAAACTCAGGTACAGAGAACACACTGATGATTGTCAGATGGGAGGGGTGCTGGGGGACTGGGTGAAAAGGAGGAAAGGATTTATTGGCAGTTCCAAAATAGTCACAGGATGTAAAATACAGCTTCAGGAATATAGTCAATAATATTATAATAACTATGCATGGTGTCAGGTTGGTACTAGACTTATAAGGTGATTACTTCATACGTTATATAAATGTCTAACCACTATGCTGTACACCTGAAACCCATATAATATTAAATGTCAACTGTAATTGAAAAATAAAAAAATGTTTTTAAAAAGTTCAGTTAGGTTGGTTAGACACTGTTAACTATTTAGGCATCTAAAGGAAAGTTACTTTAATATTTATCTTTCAGCAGCTAAGAAATTCTTTATAAATATGCAATGGTTCAGCAGCAATCACCACTGAGAAGAAACAAAATATATAAAATATGAAAATGTGTCATATACTGCATAAATCAGATCAGTAAAGTTCTTTATTAAGATTACCATGTTTTTCATTCACATAAAAATTGTCTCTTGTGACTTCCTTTATTTTTTAATCCTTACCTCCTGAGGTTATGTTTATTGATTTTAGAGAGAGAGCGGAAGAGGAGGAGGAGAGAGACATCAATGTGAGAAACATCAATCTGTTGCCTCTCATATGCACCCCAACCTAGAATTGAACCTGAAACCTTGGTATGTGTCCTGACTGGAAATCAAACCCGTAACCTTTTGGTGTATGGGACAATGTTCCAACCAACTCAGCAACCTGGCCAAGGTGTGACTTCTTTTATACTTACTGTATTTTCTTATTATTCCATTAATCATCTATGGACAGCACTTTTCAAATGTTTTAGTGCCAATGGCAGTAATCATACCTTATTTCCACCATTCCATCCTCATCTTGGCATTTTGCTAGCTTGTCATTTCTACCCTGGTTATCAGCCCAGCTGCCCCACTTTCTGGCCTCCATGAATCACCTGTTCCTCTCCACTGCTCCCGCTGTAATGTTCTTTATCATTGGCTCACACATAATGTATGTGTGTTCCCAAATTTCTCACCCTCGCTTAGGAATAATTTTTTTTTAATTAACATTCTCAATCCCAGCTATACTGCCTCCTATCTATGTATCCTTCAGTAAGTTATTTAACCCTCTAAGCTTAGGTATTTTTCACCCCAATTTAAAAGCTTCTGCACAGCAAAAGAAACCAGCATGAAATTGGAAAGGAAACCCTCTGCATGGGTACTAAACTGATGTAGGGGAATCGTAGTAGGATAGTAAGAAGCTAGGAAAATCCCTGGACAAATGGAATGGGGAAACTGAGACAAGAAAATTAAACAAGGTCAAACATTTTGAGCAGCTTGTGAATCACAAGACCTTATCTACCACAACCAAGGACACTTGAGAGCAATGGTTTTATACCTTCCTCCCTAACTAGAAAATATATAGTTTAAATCAACCTGACCTGGGAAAATAGAGAAAAAAAATACCCAGTTAATGCCATTTGTGCCAGCTAACCCTAAGGACAGATGAAGTTGGGGAATAAATAACAAAAACCCCCATCAGGTAGACCCACCCCTTGCTGGGGCCTCAGCACTGCCACAGGAACTTTAGCCTGGAAGTGCACAAGCACCTTGGAACTGATCCCGCTTAGGGCCAGCTCCAGGAGCCCTGGGCTGGGAGCAAACACGCGAACACCGGGAACTAGTCCTGCTCACACTGCCTGCTCCAGGAGCCCTGGGCTGGGAGCAAACCCGCGAACACCGGGAACTGATCCTATGCGCACTGCCGGCTTCGGAGCCCTGGGCTGGGAGCAATTGTGCGAACACCGGGAATTTGTCCCATGGAGCACAGGCCCAGGGACCCCGATTCTCTGGGCAGGAGGCAGCAACAAGCACCAGTGACTTGACTATGTTTCTTATCACCTGCGCCTGAGATCCTGATTCCCTATGCATTCATACTAAGAGCCAGTGACTCCAATTCCTGGTGCAAGGGCACACAGGGACCCTCCTTCTCAAGGCGAGGTAGCGCGAAGCAACAGAGACTCTGATACTGGATTCACGGGGAACTATGACTCCTGGCGCATGCTAGGGGGCGCTGATTTTCAACACGCTCCAGGGGGGTCCCTGTTTCAGCACGGTGCAGGCAGGGTCCCTGATTCTAAGGGCGCGAACGAGGCCACATTGACCGCTGGCAACACTGACTCTGAGTGAGCCTGGTTCAAACCAACCCACAACAACCACATATCTTAGTGTCAGAGCTCTTCAGTGACACTAGGGAGGTGGGAGGCTCCCACTGCACATGGCCCAGGCCCACGCAACTCGACGTTTGAATCATGGGGAGATAATCAGAATGAAGAGATAACAAAACACCCAGAGGAGAGACAATGAAGAGTCGCCAAGAAAGGAAATCAATGAAGTTGAAGCATGAAACATGAAAGAAAAAGAATTCAGAATAATGGTTATACAATTCATTCACCGGATGGATGAGAAAATCAACAACTTATGCAAGAATCAGGAAGAAATGAAAAGTGATATAGCTACAATCAAAAACACCACGGGAAGTTTCAACAGCAGACTAAAAGAAGCAGAGGACCGAATTAGTGAGTTAGAAGATAAGGCAGAGAAACAAGCTCAATCTGAACAGCAACTGGAGAAAACAATTAAAAAGCAGGAGGAGAGCCTAAGGGAGCTTTGGGA